TCACCTGAAAATATATCAATAATTAAGAAAGTTGACAGCATTAGTAACAACAAGATAGATTATGGTGCTAATAAATATAATTTTAAGAAAACTCTTTATTACAATATTTAAAAGAAGTATAAAAAAGGCAAAATAAAATATAATTGTTAAAAAAGGGCCAAATAAAAATATGTCAGAGTTAAGCATGACAGTTATGTTAAAATTTGGAAAAAAAAACTATAAATCCTTTTTACAACTATAATAAATGTATGTTTTTTAAATATTTTTATACTGAAGCATAAGTATTTTAACTTCTTTTAATTTTCATTAGTTTGTAACAAATTGCTTTGATTACATCTTTCTTTATTATGAAAGTTTTACCTTCCTTATATATATATCAAATTTGTGAACTAAAAGCTAAGCATTACATCCTTATAAATATGTTTATGATCCTTTTGCATTTCCATAACAATGAAAAGAGATATGATGAACATTTTGAGCATATGATTATGAGGTGAGGGAAGTTAATATGAATTATTAATAGGATGATAATATAAAAAAAGTCTTGCCATATTAAATTCTTACTAGGATGAGTTACAATACATATAAAAGTCTTGCCATATTATAGATAGAAATGGATAACTCATATTGTTACATATTGTTCAGTATGAAGCGAAGGCGAGCTTGCAGCTGAGTTTGTGTTGGACAACATCTGAAACTGATAATAAATTCTGATTGCATATACTGCCAGTCTTTTCCATTAAGAAATTCCTTCTGTTTACCATCTTCTGAACGTTCCAACAACATTTTATAATTTTTTAATAACTTTTCATCATGATAATGGCACCATTCACAATATTGAATGCAATGATCTAGATCTAGCATCGACCTTCCAAGCCCCAGTTTAACATTACCTTCTTTATCGACTCCTAGTTCAAGAATCCTAGCCTTCAGGAATTCTATTGGTACAATGTGGTCCATTCTTTGTTGTAGTTCTTTCCAACTCACATCTCGAACTTCAAAGCCAGCCCGATTTGCCTTATTCTTTTTCACCTCCTGAAACTCGTGCCACAGAATGCAATCCTCATCTTCCCCCCAATCATGCAAAACACATCTGAATACTTCGTTTGATGATGCTCTAGCTTCGAGGATAGCATCAGTCGGAAATGATAAACTCTCACGTAATCAGCTAACTCCACGGACAATCCTTCTTCTGGTGTAATCATCTCCATAGGCATTCATACTAGAAGTTTGTGATTTGCTGAGTGATCTAACAGAGGTGGTAGATTTGACCTTCAAAGTTTGATAAATATAGAGAGAAAAAAGATAGATAGCAAGATAACAAAAAATAGAGAGTAATAGATAGGAAATATAACATACGCAAAATGATAGCTACAAAGATGACAGCTACATTCAAAGGTAATAATGTCATACTACAAGTTATAGATGTTTTACTTAAATACATCCGTGATTACACCAATTTTCTCAAATGAAATCCTAGTTCATGCGGCCAAATCTAGTTGGGCAGGTGGCTCTGTTATGTCCGGCTAAGTGGCAAGCTCCGCAAACCCTATTGCTCCGTGGTGGTGCCTCGTCCATTGTATTGCGATACTGATTTATCCTTGGACATCCAGATCGCCTTCGGTAATTTGGGGGGAGAAGCGGTATCATGCTTGTATTCGGGTTATGCTCTCCCCATTCTTCCTTATTAGGGATATGGTGAAATTCTCCTGAATAACTTAATTTGTAGTTGTTATTCGTGTAATAGGGAGAGATATAATCAAAATGTGTTAGTCTTAACAGTGCTAAACAACTAACCACATGTGAACAAGGTAAGTGATATAGCAAAGGTTTCCCACAACTACACTTGCACCTCCTCCCGTCTAATATGTCGACACTATATGATCTGGAGGACATGTCAACAACTTGAAATTCATGCAAGTTAAGACGGATTGGTTCTGTCATTCGTCTAGCCTCATCCTCAACTCTTTTAAGTGATGTCTGTACACGTGGTGCAAAGAAGTTATTGTTTTGTTGCTCTTCAGTTGCAATGAATTCCAACTGTCTCATAAACATTGCAATAATGTTATAGTAGATGGCCGTAATCAAGGCTTGAATTGGCAATCCTCGTGCTCGCTTCAAAACTCCATTAAAAGACTCAGCTGCATTAGTTGTCATTACACCATATCTAAATCCACCATAATTTGTTAAAGACCTACGGCTCACATCACGGTCCACGAGCCATTGGTGGATGTCTACTTTGATCCTCTTCATATCTTCCATACATCTATTAAAATACCCTTTATCATATGTATTGCCTGCTGCGTACATTTTCTGACACAAAAACTCATCGTCTCCTAACCCCATATGTCGTATTGCTTTCTTGAAATTCTCACGTAGATGTCTTAAGCAGTGCCGATGAGCAACATTAGGAAAGATTTCCCTACAACCTCTAACCAAACCAGCATGCCTGTCTGATATGATACAGAGATTGTGCCTGTTCGTAACTACGAGGAGTAGCTCATTCACTTGTCTTAGAAACAAAATCCATGATTCGTTACACTCTGACTCAACAATCGCAAATGCAAGTGGACATAAACAATTATTAGCATCCATTCCGATCGCAGTTAATAATGTCCCCCGATATTTACCCAGTAGGAATGTGCCATCAAGACAAAGAACTGGCCTACAATAATTCCACCCAGTAATAGAAGGACCAAATGCCCAGAATAGTCTTTGAAACCTGTTTGTCTGTGTGCTTTGAATTCTATATACCGTTCCAGGCATTGCAGATGCAACAGCATCCATGAACAAATTAAGAGTGCGATAAGACTCCTCCCAACTGCCAAAAACTACTTTTATTTCCTTCCTCCGAGCATCCCAAGCCTTCATGTATGACAC